ATTTCCCTCCTTCCTGCAGCCTTTTTTGTAGTCATTTTTTGGCTTTATGCCCCCCCCCCCCCTCCTAAGGTCTATTAAATGCAAACGCTAAAAATTATGTCAAAATTATGGCAAACCATGATATTTTCAATGCACATATAATACATTTTGTAATCATGTCAGAGCCAAAACTGTTAATGTTTCTTTTGTTTGTTTTTTTTTTTTGGGGGGGGGGGGGTCCAGCATGTTTTAAATTTTATAATATGTTTTTTTTTGGGGGGGGGGTCCACCCACTTTTTTTTATTCGATAGGGGTTGGGTCAACTGAGATTTACAGCTGGCAAAACCCCCCCTAGGCCGAAGTAACTGACCAATCCCTTAACATTGATTTATTAACATATATAACATCCCCCGGAGGGGATGAAAGGGGTTACAAAACACATGCATGTTGGTGTTGTCTGCCTTATTACGGTATGACATCAGGGAGCTGGTAACATTAACATCATCTTGTAAGACTTCGTCTGCAACTATGCTCATTAGCATAGGCGGGGCGGCAGCTTTAAAGCGAGTGCCAAGTACGTTTCATACGATGTTACGTCATTAGCAAGTATAATTTGTTATGACTATATTCATCACTTTGAGTTACTATAGTCATCACTTTGAACTTTGAATAAAGCGTGTAGCGAGTCAAACTGTTTCTAGGCAATCAATATCGTTTTATTAAGAATATTAAGAGAAAACAAACGTAAAGCTGTGTGAATGGATTTAAACTACTGCTGAAGATAGAAAACTAAAACGGCAGTGTCAATGAAAAATTTGATCGGTGCACGCTCTCTGCATAAACGGAAACGATGGCTTTGTTTATTTGGCCGATGTCGATGAGCAACAGATTTCCTGTACTCACTTCCCCGCCTGATCACCGGCCCTCAATGGTCTCGCATCGTCATCGGTTAAGTACAGTAGTTGAAACTTTTTCGCCTTGATGCGAATATTTCAGCCTAATCGTCCGTTTCAAACAACTCGCGAGGTTGGTCATAATATGACCTAGACGTACTTGCAGTCTGTTGCAATTCTGATGAAAAATTCTTGAAAAATAAATATAAATTGCGTAAACAAGGGGTGAACGCGAAAGTCCTGTAATTTTTCATCTGAATCACAGGCTGCAGGCCAAGTCTAAATTCGTAAATAAAATAGAATAGAATAATGCTTTATTAATACCGTAAAGAAAGAGTTAACATTTCTTTTTAGGTTTTCAGATTAATAAAGTAAATATGACTCTGATTTGCAGATTTTTTCTTTGCCTCGTTTGTCATTGGCGTCTTTGCTTTCTTTCCATCGTCAATGCGTTAGTAAGATGGTGTTATTAAAATAGAATATAGATTTAGAAAATAAAACGATTTCTCAGACGAAGTCTTGACTGACAATAATGCTAACAATGGACGTTAGATAAATATGCATTCTTTGCGACTGGGCGACAAGCTTCCTTTCTATCAAAATCGTCAACAACAGAGTATTACCGGTAGTATACATATACATGGTATAAACATTATGCAAATATTAACGAAACGGTAGTAGTGTTAGCGTTTGAGCACTGGTCTTTCCGAATTTTCGAAAAGCTGGGATGATGAATCAAGGTACAAAGTAACTGTTTTATCAATTATTGAAAAATCAAGGAAAAAAAAGAAAATTTTCTTTCCCGCTACATTAAGATCAATATGGACCACCGAAATTTGGCTTTCATTTAAAAAAAATAAACCATAATTTTCAGTAATACTGACTTCGGAAATTACATTTTGTATGATACAAAAATAATTACATTCATACCACAAACCAACGCTGCTTTTGTTCACTTTTCTGTTGGTTAAAATACCAGCTATCAATCGTAGACCACAAGTTTGGAGTCCTTTTATGATCTAAAGGAAGGCAGACGATTGCAAACAACTACAGTCATGGCAAAACGTTGCACATCGTGAATGATGTTTTTGCATGCAAATTATTTTCCTTGATGCACTCAACAAATCAAAGCTGACGTACAACATTAGTTGCAGAATGCGTGAAAAGTACTTCTCGTTCCACTCGCTTTGAAGCTGTCACCTATGCTAATGAGCATAGTCGTCGGGACGAAGCCTTACAACTACAAGATGGTGATAACGTTACACCAAAAATAGGCAGTCAACACCAACGTGCACATTACACTATTTAACTTTTCCAGCCAGTGATGTGATGTGTCTAATCACCGTAAACCATGTGTCATTTGTTTGGTCCCACATGTGCTCACTGATCACCGAACAGTGTGGCATGTTGTCGGTACATATTGTTTACACACTTTTTTTACCGTACCATTTTTACCATTTAAAACTTAATTTTTTATAAGGCATGCAGTGAACCCTTACACTGTAAATGAGAAGTATGGTAATATTACGGGCATCGACCTTTGGGATTCGCGCTTTTCGACCAACCAACCAATGGGAATCGTGCGAAGCACACAATGGGAGTCTTTGTAGTTACCCTGTCTGTATGTGTGTGTGTATACAAATGTGTGTGTGTGTGTCGTTCGTTCCACAGATATCTCAAGAACCATATGTTGGTTTTTAATGAAATTTGGTATATAGATGCTCTGGGTTAATGCGCAGATTTGATTAGGTTTTGGTAAAAATCCATGCATATAATTAACTTAATTTGCATAATGATTAGTCAATTTTTGACTTTTCCACTGATATCTCAGGTACTACAGGCCTTGCCGTCTATGGCGAGCGA